GTCAGAGGCCACCCGAGCCTTAAATCAGGACCAAAGTCCCAACTTGCTGTCAGACCCTCGACGAATTGCTACTGCTCTCTGAGCTCCCCTGGATCTTCAGCTTCATCCGTGAAATGAGGCCAGTGATGTCCGCTGTGCAGGAACTGAGAACATCAAATGAGACTGTGACTGTGAATGTGCGGAGAAGACATAAAACTCACTGCTAACATGAGGCTATCACTATTTTTAATAAATAATAGCCACCCACCCTGGCGGAACCATTGTATCAGACGGTTTGCAATGAGGCGGGACACAGGATAACTTTAGGTAATACAGGAATAAATATTCTAAATTAAAATGTACCGTGTGCCAGAAAAAATAAAACTGGCACCACAAATCCAGGGGTTCACAAGTATTTTTGCTTAGAACAAAGGTCTGTTAAAACAACAACAGAAACTTAGCACTGCGTGAAGGAAAAAATATTGAGTAAATAATGTTCCGGGTAGCACAAGGCCAGGGTAGAAACCATAACGGTGGTTTAGAAGTGCTGGCTGAGTGGAGATGGCAAAGGACAAAAGGAGGAGGATTCTTACGAGAGGGCAAGGGTGGCAGAGTCAGGCCGGATGAGAACTGATGTCCCAAAGGACAGGAGACAGCTGTTGAGCAGCTGTTGCCTGTCCTGCCCACAGATGCCCTCTGGGTACGGGAACAGTCTGTCTCCTCCAGAGCTGGGCTATTAGCAGCTCCAGCAAGACCGGTGGGCAGACAGGACTGGGATTTCCTGTCCATAGTCATGGTCCCCAGGGCTCAGAGCCCCCTCTGCATCCAGCTCTCCCCTACCAGGGGGAACTGGACAACTCTAACCCCGCCTTGAACCCCTCCTGCAACGTTGCCCATTCGTGGTTTGTGAACTTGTGCAGTGGAACTCAGTGAGGGGGAGCTTACAACTGCCCAAGCAGCCCCCCTCCTCTACTCCCAAAGTGGGACTGGGCAAAGAGGCCCTGGCATAACGGTCCTCTGAGACCCTCTGTGTGCCAGACCCAGGGACACAGAGTGAGTGAGCAACCTCTGGCCTCCAGGAGCTCACAGCTGAGCCAGGGAGACCCCCTGTCAGCTATGACAGAGCTGGGCCTAAGCCTCCCCGGACCAGGCATTCTACTGGAAGGGGACTTCACCTCCCTGTGCCCCGGGAAGAGGCTCCAGGCCCCTCACTGACCTCCATGCCGAGCTCCAGCACTGAGCCTTGTAATGCTTCCTCTTGGGTCAGGGTTCCCCAAACCCTGGGTCTGTACAGGGGTTCTCTGGAGCCTGAGAGATCTTGACAAGACTTTAAAATGATTGTGTTGTCATTTTGGAATAATCTGAAAATATCAACATAAACATATTCTACATCATCTGGATGCTTGGCTTACAGCCTGTTATGTGATCCCCAAATTTTAGTGTCTATCTTTGCACTGATGTTATGAAAAGCAGCTAACTTGGCCGAGGCTGGTGTGGCTGGTGTGACTCAGTTGGTTGGAGCAACAGCCATGCATGGAAGGATCTCGGGGTCGATTTCCGGTCAGGGCACATTCCCAGGTTGCAGGTTTGATCTGGGTTGAGGCAAGGGCAGGAGGCAACCCATCGATATTTCTCTCTCTCCTTGTCTCCCCCCCCTCCCCGCTCCTTCTTCCTCTCTCTCAAATAATAAAAACATATCCTTGGGTAAGGATTTTTTTTAAAAGGCAGTTAACTTGTTTTAATTTACTAAAGTAGAAGCTACATACAGAAAAATACACAAACCTTACATATACAGACGGATCAGTTTGTGAAACACATCTGTGAAACCAACGTGCAGATCAAGAAACAAATATTATTAGTGCCCCCCTCACCCCAGAGACCCTCCTCAAGACCCTCCATATCCCACAGGTAGCCACTATCCTGACTTCCCACCAAAGATCAGTTTTGCCTGTTTTTTAACTTGATATAATGGGGTCATATAGAATGACTCTTTGGTCCCTGTCTCCTTTATCTCAACATTGTGCCCATGAGATTTATCCATGTTGTTGGTGTGTAGCTGAAGTTGATCCTCAGATATGGTTCTTGGGGCTCCATGAATCTGCTAGTTGGAGAAAAGTGCATGGGGGTGCCTGCTGGCTCAGAAGGGGGGTGAAAGCAGCCAGCTGCAGGGCACACAGTGCTGTCCTGGTGTTCACTCCACAGCATGGGTCCTGCCACAGTCCACTCCAGACTTGCAGTTTCCCCAGTGAGCCATGCTCAGCCAGGCCTCTAGGTCTTTGCAGATGTTCCTTCCCTGGGTGCCCTCCCCTTGCTCATCTGCCTAGCAAAGGCCTATGTGTCTTGTGTTCCCTCAAAGGCTGCCTCCTCCGTGAAGTCTCCCCTGGTTTCCCGGGGTGGACTCAGGCACCTCTTCTCTTGTACTCCCACTTATCACATTGTGTGGTCACTGTAGGTCTGTCTCCCCATTAGACTGTGGGCTTTTTTTGTGGGAGGGTGAGGGGATATTGGACTCATTCTCAGAGCAACTGAGGAGGGAGTCTTGCTGCACCCCCACCCAGAGCCATCAGAGGAAAGGGGAGGGTTTTCTGTCCTGGCTCACTTACCTGGTTAAACATGGGGTTCAGCTGGCCCAGCACCCTTGCACAATCAGCAGGTGTGGACAGCACCAGAACCGCAGCACAGTGCTTTTCCAGACAAGCCACCACACCAGGGAATTGAAAGAGAGCCCTGCTGAGCCAGGCCCCAGGGCCCAAGGGTGGGATACTTTACCAGGCAGGCATCAGTTTCCTAATCTGTGAAATGGGGACAATGAACTTGGTCACCTTCCTCTTTCCTGACAAGAGTTCAAGGTTAATGAGTGTCCAAGACAGGATATAACTATACCTAAGACTGCGTTCAAGCTGCCTTGAGGCAAGGGAATGGCCTTGGTTACCACTGGCTGTCTCTTCCTGCAGGACTGAAGGACAATGTGAGACCCACAATTCAGCTGTGGCTCCTCATCTGGGTCCCCCACCCTGCTCTGGGTGGATCTTGTCTTGGAAGCCCTAATCTGCTTACTAAGCAGCCTAAGCACTTACCCTACTCATCCCTACCTAAATTTGCCCAGCCCTGTGCCTTGCCCTGCAAGTGCTATGTCCACTCCATTGTAGTAAGATGGGTTTCTTTTTTTTTTTTTATATATATTTTATTGATTTTTTACAGAGAGGAAGGGAGAGAGAGAGAGAGTTAGAAACATCGATGAGAGAGAAACATCGATCAGCTGCCTCCTGCACATCTCCTACTGGGGATGTGCCCGCAACCAAGGTACATGCCCTTGACCGGAATCGAACCCGGGACCTTTCAGTCCGCAGGCCGAAGCTCTATCCACAGAGCCAAGCCGGTCTCGAAAGTTGGGTTTCTTGTCTCCATTCAGAATGTCCCCCCTCTAGGCGGCCTTCTCTAAACCTTGGGCTAGCCGGGCCTCATCCACACTGTTGGCTTTGTGAAGGGTTTGGGTCCTGGTTGTCGCCCAACTTCAGATCCCCACTCTATCCAGAGGTAGAACTGGGGCAATGGAGTGTGATCCTCAGAAGAGCGGGCTCCGCCCAGTGGGGAAAGCGTGCTGCAGCGCCCTGTTGCCATGGTAGCCAATAACTTCTTCATTGGCCACTGAGCTCGAGATCCCGCCTCTGCCATCAGAAGAGACCAATGATAGGCCAACTGGCTGAGAGCCGGTTGGGGGATCCGTGCGGGTGTTGCCTCTCGATTCCTGTCCTGCGGGGAGGCCCACGGGCACGTGATCCCATCTGAAGGCCGCGGTGGAGCTGTGTCCAGGAGTCCGCGGGTGGCGGGGGCCGGGGGCTGGGGGCTAGGTGGCGGGGAGATCATCACAGGACAGTTCCTCAGCCCAGCT